TAATATGTCACCACATGCCAGCTCTGCCAGCAGTCTGGCTTGGGTCACACAATTAAACAGAAGTCTCCCCTACCCTCAATCCCAGTAACATGTGTCAAGGATCAAGATTATTTCATCATTCAAGATTTTCGTCTTCAATTATGCAGAGGATCATGGGAACCGAGAGGCTGGAAGGAGGTTTGATGTCTCGGAGTCCAACATTCGACGATGGCGCTCTGCGCAGCCAAGACTGGAGGAGATGCCCAAGACCAAAGCTTTGACAGTGTTTTATTCAAGTTTATCTGTGCAGGGAACAAAGGTATCAAGGCAAAGATAGGAGAGATGTCTCGCACAGAAGAGTTTCCGACAGGGAAGACAGCGAAGTGACCCGAACTGGAGGCGACCCACATGGCGTCTTGTCATCTCGAGGTTGAAGGCGAGAGAAGCCGGCATTGCTGACTTTAAAGCAAGTGCTTCATGGGCTTACTGCTTTCATGGGCCGCCACGGGTTATCCGTTCACCGTCGGAAGCACATCGCTCAGCATTGGGCCAGTGGCAATCAACTGAATCTTCAACAATTGTTTGTATAATGCTCATGATTTCAAAGTCGTAACAATGATGACATTATAATATACACTTTCTCACAGGTTTAACTACAAACCGCTGCACAATACTGTGCGTCGCTTAAGGTTTTGTCAGTGGCTGCTTCAAAGACCTGCCCGCTTCCTGGATGACTTCCTCATTGGAGATGAGTCCGGCTTTGCCTTGAATGCCCAAGTGAATACCCACAACCTGAAGGCATATCGAGAGCAAGGACACCCTCCGACGAGTTTCACTATGAACGTAGTAATAGCAGATCTAAGGTGACTTTGTTTCAAACCCAGACAAGAAAAGTTCTGGCTACGATGATATCAATAATGTTATCCTTAAAGCCATTATTCCATTGTTAGTAGTCATAGATCCCCTGGTTCATATATTTAATTTGTCTTTGTTACACAGGCAAATTCCCAACTCTATATGAAAATCGCCAAAGTTATTCCTTTATTTAAAAAAGGGGGAAAACTAAATGTAAACAACTATCGACCGATCGCCTTGTTATCTTCTTTCTCAAAGATCTTGGAGAAAATCATATATATTAGAACAGTTGCCTTCCTAAAATATAATGTGTTCTCTAATTTTCAATTTGGTTTTAGGGAAAAGCATAGTACCGTTCCTGCTTTATTATCTTTTGGGGAGAAAATAGCTCATGCTATTGACAAATCCTCTCATATGGTTGGTATTTTCCTGGACTTTTCCAAGGCCTTTGACATAATAAAACCATGATGTATTATCATTATTACTATGTCCGTTTTGCAGCTAACACCAACTTCTGTAGAACTTTGCAGGAGTTATGAATATGTTCCATGACTTTGTGATGTGTACCAGCTCATCAACCAGCATGATAAATCAAGGCTTCGACATAGCACCGCTCATCAGAGAGCTGAGCGAAATGGCAGGAGATCCCAACAGCACCCAAGGAACCAGGAGAAGAACCATCACTAGGTGACAAAGCAATGGACGTTAGTTCAAGAAGCGAACCCGACGACGGAGAGCCTGACATCATCACCATATCACAAACAAGGTTTCTTGCGCAGGAGGCCCATCTAGACAGGATGGAAGCAGAACTACGTGGCCTGCGTAGGTGGAAGGAGAACTTTACACAGACAGCACCAACCGTGGCGCACACAGAAACAGATAACATAGGCACGCTCGTGACCGAAGAAGGACGTGTTGAGCTAATCGACGAGGCGAAGTCCCAGGTGCTAAGATTCGCCCCCTGTCATCGAGAAGTCTCAAGGCGCCTAACGGGTATGCTATTCCTCGAGCGCGAGCGAGTGGGCAGCAATGTCACGGGGAGGAAAGGATCTGCAATGGCCCTGCTACTCATCAAGGCCATCAAGGAGGCCGTCTTTGATATCTGCCCATCAGAAGGGGGAAACAATGCAGCAATATGGAAGGAATGCGTGACAGCAATTAACTCACAGAATAGAACAGACGATGGCGACACGACAAGCAGTAAACATTTTGTTTTTGTTTTAAAAAAGAACTGGTTGCATTGGTATTTTTATTGAACAATATTGATTTCGCGAGCTACAAAGGTTTTTTTCAAGCATAAGTGATCTGGAAACTAATATGCCGATGCTCCTTTCATTACGATGATACATATCATTATCCATGGTACTATTATTTTAACCATTAATTTGTATTTAAATTTGCTTTCAGTGCTTGATTTGTTGTCTTAGATTTTTTTATGGGAAAGGCCTTTGCGTTTTGTATGAAATGAAGTACAGGTGAATATAATGGTTATATGCTATAGGCCATGCTATAGTGAATGCTTGAGTGAATACGCCCTCGGTAAGGGCGGTGATTTTTTGTCATGGCCGGAATGCTGAAATTATGCATCCTAGAGTATGGTATTTCTTCCAATACTTTCTATTCTATCGAGTATCTATCGAGTGGATCGTGAACAAGTGGAGGGGGGTGAAGGAGACCGTTGACCGGAGTAGAGAGAAACGCCTCGGAAATCTTGCTGTTGGAATGGAGGTGCTGTTCTCTTGCAAGCGCTGCCATCATAAATCCAAGATTCAATCGCTGAGTAAGTATCTCTTGCTTTTTTTTTTCTCTCTCTCTAAAACAAAAATGAAACTTTTATAGTCCGAAGGCAGCGACCAGTGATCCGTCAACCAAAGACGCCAAAGAGGCAGGCACCTGTCAGTATTTTGTCTCTGTGTATTTCAAAATTTGGTCTTTAATGACCTTTATCCGCTCATATATTCTCAGACTGCAACTATGAACTGGCATATTCCAGTGCAGCCTGCAGGAGTGTTGACAAAGCAGAACTGAAGTGCTGCAAGATCTCACTTAATTGAAGTTTGAACGTTGATGAAGTGGTGTAGGCTAAAGGCGGTTTCTTATCTTCATATCCTGGATTTTAACTGTAAGTTTGATGCATAGACTACGACTAGATCTAATGTTAGGTCACAAGGGGGATTTCAACGTACAAGGTGCATATATTTGATTCATTTCGCCAACACGGGATTACCTCTGACATTTTTACCTGGTACCAAAGCTGGACTTGGTGTGTATGGATAGAGCATCATTGGTTTTGTCTTTAAAATTTGGCTCATATGCACTTTGAATTGTGATTGGTACAGGTAACCATTTTTTCCACAAATGCAAAGATTTAAATTTCTTTAATCTATGGTCTAATTTTGATGAAAAATTTGTTTGGTTTGTTTAATTATGTATATTTCTTAATAAACTGGTGGGAGCTTGGCCTCTTAGTCTTACTGGTATCGTGGCCTTCTTAGGCTTTACCCTTTTACTCCATCTCTATATTCTATTATATGTTCGCAAGAAATTAAGCTAATAATTATACTTATTATTCATGACCGTATCTGCAGGTGTTTTGCCGGTGTCAATCCGTCAACAGGCTCAAGGGCAAGGAATTGTCCAAGAGGCAGCATCAATCCAAAGGCCCGTCATTTACCAACAATCTTACAGTAGGTCTTATTTAGCCATTTTATGTCCAGTCAGACAGGGATGCCAACCTTTCAGAGCACAAATCCGTAATCATAAGGCTAAAAATCCGTAATTTGGAGACAAAATCCGTAATTTTCTGCGCGACGCAAATTTTTCTGCACGCTGGCAAGCGCAGCTCCCGCAGCCAAGCGCGATAGCACAACAAGTTAAATAAAAGTAACATAGTCTACCTGTTCATTAGTTGGTGTTACACGATGCATTTCCATTTCTTACTGTATTCTTCTTTAAAAGTCTGTAACTTCTTGCCACGCTTCTTAGTTGTGGAAGACATGATGATTGATATCTAAATCCAACCAACATGAGTTCAGATTGTCGACGAAAATCGACGAACGCTGTGACAGCCTGTGAGAAATCCGACAGTGTACACGGCGCTAGCGTAGCGAGGCCTGGCGCTGGGCATGGGCGGGCGGTAGCGGCGCGGCCAAGAGAGGTATTTCACCCGGCCCCCGCTCGCGAAGCACATGTTGTATGCACATGTATGCACTGAAAGGGGTGTGCTAGATAACAAATTGTCCAATCGGAAGCCCTGTGGGATTTCTATGCATGGATTCAAGGATGGCTGCGCTGCAATAGTCAAAAGTACTAAACCTTAAACGTGCTAAACCTTAAAGTGCTAATTTTGAAAATCGGCAAAATCGGCAAAATCCGGAATTCATGGTATGAAAATCGTACCGCCCGTAATCGGCCGATTTCCCGTAGAAATTACGGGAAATCCGTACTAGTTGGCATCTCTGGTCAGAGAGTGAAATTCTTGGAGGACGCAAGGATGTGTAAACTGTAGAGCAGAGAAATGCTATTCTCTTAATCCGCATGTTAACACAAATAGGACAATACCCAGTGAAAAGACACCCAATCATGCTAAGATACATTCTTGAATGGTGAACAAAGGAAAATGAGATATACTAAATATAATCTATATTTTATAGTTGATTAATATATCTCTTTTTTAATCGATTCAAGACTTTAAAAGTATAGTCTAGATCTAGTTAAGATACATTCTTGAATGGTGAACAAAGGAAAATGAGATATACTAAATATAATCTATATTTTATAGTTGATTAATATATCTCTTTTTTAATCGATTCAAGACTTTAAAAGTATAGTCTAGATCTAGTTGAAATTAATATATTGCCCAAAATGCAGATAAGGTAATATTTACTATAAATATGAATCCAATAAGAGTAATATCATCTTAGATATACTACATCATGCAATGTAAGTCGATTATAACTTAGACCTAATGACATGCAATTCAAGATGGTGGTTGCTCGCCATGTATTCTCCATTTTGATTTTAGTATAAAACCTTGACTTATTAAAGTGCTCTCACTTAATCCATGTATTTTTCTTTACACATTGCTGCATTTTTAGTTATATGACCACGGTATATAAATGTATAGTGAGGTATTCCTAACTAAGAAAATAATATGTTTTTTTTTGTTTTTTTGTTATTGAATTATTGACTTTATGATGTTCTCTTTTCTGTTTTGTTATTGTGTATTGTAGTTGTTTAACCCTGCATGAGATGCATCCAATGTAATTCAAATCTCGTAACAGGGTTTTATGTAACAACTTTATTACTATGTTATATGTACTTTCTTGAATAAAGATGAATAAACAACCGAGCCTTTTTGAGTAAATGGTATATCATGTTGGAATTAATATGATGTTAGAACAAGAAAAGAATTTATAAATCCTCTATGATAAAAAAATAATCAGTTTGTATTAAATAATGTAAACTTTTGTGTTTTGTTTGATTTTTAAAACTTAGTTGATATAGATCTACACATCTTTTTGTTCATATTCTTTTGTCAAGAAACAACCAAGAAAAAGGCAGCTGAATTACAGGAAGGAGCAGCTCCAAATTGTTGAATTTGTAAAAAGAAGGAACCTCGACCTTTTCGGAAAGGCGGGATACTGTGGAGCGAAGGTACAGTAAAGTGTTTTTAGAGTATTTTTTTGTATAAATGACAAGAACATGTGCATCATAAATTCATGGAGGCTGTTGAAAAGAATTTTAGCCTTGAAAATTATTTAGTAAGAAATGAGGTCTCATTTATGCACAATCTTTTGACACAGTGCACTTCTACCCAAGACCTATTCTTTTATAAAGAATTAATTTATCCATTGATATTCAGGTAATCCAACATTCACTCCTGCAACAATTGCTCCAATCAAAACCCTGTAGTTTATGGTTTGAATTCTGACACTCATTCACTGGACGAATGGTATGTCAAGCATATAAATCCACATATATTCTATCTCAATATCATGTTCAAAACAGAAGCAACATGTCAGATAAAGCATGAAATGATTACTGTAATACTCTCCCGCCTTCATAATTCACTTCAGAACATAGACGATAATCAATTTATAGTTATCATCACCTCCAGAAACTACATTGAGTTGATAACACGCTTCTATTGATCTTTACATCAATTTACCCATGATCGATGCTTCTTGAAGGCGTGTCACGATAGCTCATGCCTTCCACCACCTTGTAATGATGCTTCCATCTCAACGTTGCCATGGAGATGCCTGCTCCTCATCACCTGAAGAAGGTTCTCATCCCACCTGCACCACCGGGGAATCGACCATCAGTCCTCCTCCCGGGCATCCCGGGGAATCCCCGAGGTGGCTGAGGGGCGTAAGGGTGTGGTCTCCCCGTCTCAAGGTCTACGAGTCCTCCACCGTGACCAGGTCTGAGGTTTGCATCTGGGTTGGGGAAGATGGGGTCGTGACGAGGGCCTGGGATAGGCTGGAAGACTGGAGTGGGATGAAATGAAGACAAAATGATGGACGATACAAGTAGTAACCAAGAAATCAAATGCTATTACATCTTATCATTCCCTTGAAAACATCACAATTGGGAATGTTCCTATACATCCACTGCCCTTTTATTTCTTCATATTTTGTTCATAATAATCCTTATATAATATATATATATATATATTCTTCCAAGAAATAATTTCACAAATTAACTCTCTACCCACTATAAAAAAAAACGTGGCCTACCACAATAAACTTTTTTCAACCGAACAAAATTGTTCTATATACTCAAAACATTTTAAAAGTCTCGTTTCAGTCTAAATCATAGAAAACAAGATTGTAGCGATTGGGAGGAACAAAACATTTGTTTGCAGTTTGACATTATATGGTCAAAATCAATTTCATTAGGGAGACAAAATTAGTATCATTAGTATTTCTCTTTCTAAGATACTTTTTTTTTCCTTGAACTTGTTATCCAGTCAAATCATTCCAGCAATTGAAGAAAGAGTCAAATTTTAGTAAAGATGAAAAATAAATTATTAGTTTTCTCATTCTTTACAAGTCACTTTTGAAGAATATCATAGCAGAAATGTCACCTAGCAAGGATTGCATTTTAAATAATAATAACAATACACTGAGTGATTTCAAGTTGGGTGTTAGTGTTAGTGTTTAGAGCAGTCAAGAGCTCTTAAATTGAGCGAAAGATTTGCTGATGAAATTAAGAGCCCGATACCGATATCAAAATCGATAGCTTAACACCAACTGTGACGTCACCACATACTAGATTTCACGACGATGATTTAAATATAGTACATAAAAACTGAAAATATCATGAAAAGTACAGAATAATTTACACCTATTTCTCTGGTCTTATAAATGAACTCATTTTACACAAAAGAATAATATAAATTACCCGTTTCACATATTTTTATTTGATCGTCAGACAATAAATTGGCGTCGTTCGTGCGTTGACTGTTGTGCGGTACAACACTAACACCGAACTGGAAATCAACATTTGTACGTAAAATATTAACACCAGCCACAAAGGTCAGTTCAGCAGACGACAATTTTGCAAAATCGATAACACTAGCTACCGGAAGTTGACGATATTCAGAGGTCAAAGCCTTAACACCAGCTGATTTTCATTTTGGTGTTTAGGCTGGTGTTAGTGTTTATTAAACACTAACACCAGCCTTAAACACCCAACTTGAAATCACTCACTATATCTATTAAGCGCTTAATGCCCTCATAAGAGTTTGGACCAAACTTCATGCCACATCACATGTATGTGTAGTCCCATATGTGCATTTCTGTATGCAGTGCATGTGGTTTTTATCAACATTGAGTCACTTATTTTCTCTTTGATCATTTGAAAACCTCTCGGTATATATCGATATATGAGTAAAACTTTTCTTGACAGTTTCTTCCACAATTGCATAACCAGAACTCAATTTTACCATTACCAAACCTTGGAAATGTTATTCTCAAGTTTGAACTCACTGTTAGATGTTAAGCTTACCTGAGGGTGGATAACCTGGAAGAGCACCACCTGAACGAAATGGGTCGATGTCATAGTCACCTCCTCTGTAAAAGATATAAGAAAGAGCAATATCCAATACTGATACAATATACTGGAAGCGAACTATGGTTGTAAAAATTAAAATAACAAAAACCAGAAATATTAGCTTTTTAAGTTCCCCGTCCAGCAATATTTACTCCAACGTTTCATAAAGAGTGATTGACACAGCCTTGGAACAGATTTATCACAAATGAAAAAAATAATTTCTTTTACATATCATAGTATCTCTATGAAGTTGATTCTACATCAAATTTTACTAAGTGGGCCATGAACAAGAAATTTAATTGAGTGTAACTTTGATGCTATGCATGTATTTCCCTTAGCTCTTGAAGACATATATGTAGAGGTTGAGATACGAGGTAAAAAGGCAAATGAGCATTAACTAATGGATAGCAATATAGCAAACATTTCTATATCATTAGGGAGTGGGGTATAGGTAGCGGCAAAGAGGCCTTCACCAAAGAAAAAACATACCAAAGAGGACAGTCAAGAAGCACATGCTTACCTGTAGCCAGGGGGATAGATGCCTGGTAGAGGGAGTGGTACTGGAGGTACAAAGGCAAAGGGGCGTCGACCAGGGGGGTAGAAAGAATTCTGGATGCGATTTCTGAGCTGTTCCCTCACCTTCTTCAAGCGATATCTCTCTTTGTACACCTGCAATTCAATGATAAATTGTATCAAGTGTTTGGAAGCTTTATGGGAGAGATATTTCATAGTGAAATCAGTAGTTGACAGCACAAGTAACATAAATTGAGTGGGGATCAGATTAAAGATCTATTTAAAGATCTTGTGAATTTGAACCCATTGCGATGTATAAATTGCATTGTATACTGTTGCATGTACAACAAGAAACATCTGGGTCAGATATAAACGAGAGACGGAGATAGAGAGAAAGAGAGACAGAGAGGAAGAGGAAGGAAAATTGAAGGAGAGAAAGGCTAGATGAGAAGTAAAGTTAATACATAGGATGAAATTAGACCCAAGCAGAATAATAATCTAAACCATTCATATAATTTTTCTCATATTCATTGAAGAAAACAAGGTAGTCTATGAAGTCTATGTCAATTTTCCTTCAAAAAAAATTCAAAGACCACTGTCTGAGATCTTTAGAATTACAAAACTCACTAGCATGGTATGTTACACCATGAGCAAAGACCCTTTCATAATTTTACTCAAATCTAATAGGATATAATATTGACTGTAAAGCATGTGATTCCAGAGTGTTTCACCCGTACTACCATCATGATCTAACCTTCACATACATTTTTCCAATTGCAGTGCCTGTCTGTGCCTTTGCCTCCAAAGTCTCTTAGCAGGAGCTGCCTCCAGAGGGAAGGGTCACTGATTAGACTATGGAAATGTTGACACGAGGTTGACATTGTGACCAGCTCAGGGAGATCCAGAAAACTTAAGATCTTCAGCTGTAAACCCAAAACACATTAAATTAAATCTATTTGTCCCACAAATAAAACAAGATTGATTTCTGAATAAAAGATGTTTATAATGTCAGTTTAATGTACTATTATTGTGGGGAAAAACACCTGATTTGCCTAGAAGTCTGGCAACCATTGGTTAAGATAGGACTAGAAATCGATTTTACAAAAAGGGGGCATAGTATTATAGAGTCAACTAGGTGTTTTTACGCATTTATGGTCCGGTTGAACAAATCTACAGAGAAGGGATGAATAAGAGTTTACTACATACTTGTATTTCTGGAAAGAGAGCTGGAAGGCCATGCAAAGGAGGAAGACCAAGTTCTGAAAGAACAGAAGAGGTGGTTCAGTTTCAAATCAATTTAATCATAAGGTTACTTTTTTAATAGAAATCTGCACATGAACATTAAAAATGTAATTCAGGCTGAGTGAAGAATCATTTTACTTGAGAAAGGCCACAAAAGTGGATGAAAGCTTGCCAACATGTACTTAGTTGGTAGAAGCATGTTACATTTTTTATGCTGAATACACTTCTCTGTATATATCACAAATTATCTGTATTTCATAGACAAAAGTAAGAAAAATAAATTGTAAAAAAATAAAGTTCAACTATCTCTAAAATGCTTGAAAAATGCAGAGCTCAAAGCAACAAATATATGTCTGAATACATAATTTCATGTATGGAAAAAAAATATGGCTCATTTGTGTTTATTTGCTATACTTTCCATAGCAAATGCAAGGAAGCACTAAAGGGTTTTATCAAGTCATCGTTAACGATGGACTGCCAATAGTAAGCTAAACAAGTGTAGTCCTTTTTGGGGGGCAATTGGCAGTTCTTGGCTCATATCACATTAGGGCTGCCATTATATAATACAATTCTCCTGAAGTTTCCCTAAAAATCATAGATCACAAAAGAATTGTTACAAATCACTGCGAATTATTGTAAAATGTTATCTTACCTGCTCTCATAGCAGCCAGCATAGGGTAAGCTATGGTGTCTTTGAAGTTCCTGGACAAATAGGCAAGACTGGTAAAGGAAACTTGAGACATACCATCCAAAAGCGAAGCATACATGGCTGGTTTTAGCTGCATAGTAGCATGAATGTTTTTCCCAATTAGACCTGCCGTATGGAGAGAATGTACAATAATGATAATAAATGTAACTTATATAGCGCCAAATCCACTCTGTGGAGTGCTCAAGGCGCATGTAAAAGTAATTAAGAATCAAACGGAAGCGTTTGCACATGATTTTAAAGGAATTGGAGCTATACACTTTGTGATGTCTTCAAGGAAGGCTATTCCATAAGATTAGGACGGGGCATTGTGGCGTACGCCTGTAATCCAGCTAACAATGGAAGTTATAAACTGATTCAGCCAAGGATGCAGGTTTGAAACTGAGTCACGTCTTTTGGATGGTGACGTTAAAAGTCGGTCCTCGGACGTGAATAATCATATCTGATTGATACACGTCTATAAAAACCCAATTACACACACACACACACATGCGTGAGCAACGGATGCTCCTGTGACTAATGCTCCATGGTCTGTCCTACAATAACCAATCTAATTTCAACCCTGGACCCAACCCTAACCATACTCTGAAAACTAAAACTAACCCTACCTTAAAACCCAATTACAGCCATAACGCTAAACCTTATCTTTGACTAAATAAAACCATAGTGATTGTTGCCAGAGCACATGTTAGGTCACCCACTGCAAACTAGTCTCTCAAAGAAAGTCACTGCATAAGTCCCATCCCCCTCACTGTCCCCCTCCCCACCTCTCCTTTATTACCATGAATTAGAAGCGCTTTTCCCATTGAAACACCAGCTAATGTACACTCCGCCCCTCTACACTCTGCATGTTGATATGGCAGCTTATATGATGTCCCTGTCTTCCAACCATGGGGCAAGGTGGATAATGGGTCTGGGTCAAGGACTTTGTTCTCTTCCACACTTGTCTCTGTGCCTTCCATGAGTGTAGATGATGGTTTATCTGTGCTGGAAGAACCTGTGGCTTGCTATTAACGGAGCAGAAGAGACACAGAAGTATGTCAGAGCTGTATCTCTGATACACTATAACATAAATGCTTTACCTGAGAGTTAAGGGAGTGTCCTTTCTACTTGGCTGCTAGTAGTGAAGTGACTTGGAAGCTCATAGCAGTGACATTGTTCCTATAGTGGCAATGGTATGCTATTCAGGTATCCATCTATTGTCACTGGCTGGTATGTGCATTACATTGGTATGTGCATAACACCTGGCATGTCTATTATGTTATTCTATATACATAACAGTCAGAAAGGCATTTGATACGATTTGCTCTAATGTTCTAAAAATCAATGAATTGGAGACATTCAACAGACTACGAGATAATTTTCATTTTACATTCTTGTTGTACAGGCTTCTATTACATGCTTTGAGGTGTAAATCAAAATCCAGGCAGGTCTGGTTAAAAATATTGAAGGATGACATATAAAAATAGAATTGCCTTGTTTAAAAGTATCTTAATGCAGGAAACTCTACAAGCAACTGTACAAAAAAGGACTGACATAACCCCCACTTTTAAATTATTATCTTTTTGCAAATCCCTTTTACTCCTTCTATTCTGATAAAAAAAAACATATTCGTAGCATATTGCTCTAGTGACACAATGAAGTACTTCATTGGTCATCTATAGCACAGACAAAATCTCAAGGCAACTTTTTTTATTACCTGGGCAGCAAAGCCAGTTTCAACCATGAGCACATGAAGCACTAGGCACAAGGCATCACCAGAGTTCTCTGGTTGGATCTCCTCACATAGCTCCTTCAAACGCAAGGGAATCTTGTCACCTTCTGCATCTCTGGAGGCAAAGACATGGATAGTACCAAAGAGAATTTCAAAGAGAAAGTGATTATGAAGGGTCCACATAATGTAGGGACTTACATGGAAATCAAAGAGGAAATATTCAAAGGCAAAAATAAATAAAAATTAAAAAAATCCCAAAATAAATGCAACCTCTTTGAATAACATATACATGCACATTCAAACATAAGGTTATGAACATTCTTAACCTAGTTCATAATACAAATTTGAGTTTTGCAGAATTAAACAATGAATTGGTATTTATTTGTGCATCAAGCATGGTGTCTAGAGTAAAATTTGTGCCCATTTACAGCACATTCAATATCAGTGTTTAATTTTTCCTTTCTTCCCTTACCTACAGAGCATGGGTTCCGAGATCTTTTCTCCCATTTCTGCTTCACTTTCAAGTTTAGCTAGTTGTTCCCTGGCTTCTTTTTCCTCTGTACTCATCTCATCCTCTGGATTGGCATGGTTACCATTCTCCTCTTCAGATACCGCACCCCTAGGCTCCGGTCTCCTCTCTGATGGGGTGCATTCACCGGTAGTGACAAGGCTCCCATTGATGCAGGCATATGGGCGTGGTGTCCCTCTTGGATTGGCTCCTGTACCGTTGCTAGACATCGCCCCATTCTGGTTGGATGTTGGGTCTAGTTCGCTTGGGACAAGTACTTTGATCAGGTCACCTGACACGATGCCAAAGGTCTCTAGAAGATCATCTGGGGATCCGTTGATTGGGTCCCTCCCATTCAGGCTCAGCTCAAAGCTTCCAGGCTCTAATCTGATACAGGAAAGACGCCAAAAATAAATCACAGAGAGATGTCAACTTATCATATAGCTGTAATAAAATAAAAGTAATCATCAATGTACAATGCTAGAATGTTGCGTTTCAAAAATTATGATAATCTGCTAACAGAAAACGAAATTACCTGCTCTAAATAGTAGCCTAAATCACATCCTTGTTATCTGTTGTAGGTTATAAACTACACTAGGATGGACTTGCCATTTAAATCCACTTCCTAATTCTAAATACATCTGTGTTTGCACTCCTCCACAATGCTTAAAGCACAGGTTGTATAAGATGTAGCCGAAACTTGACTGAATGAGTATGCATCATCAATGCAACAAGCCACAGCCCTTTACCAGTATGCTTAGAGAGATGGTCTAAGTATACGCCCAACTAAAAAATGTTCTGTTCAAATCATGGAAGAGCGCATAGATATATGCAAGCATCCGAACATTTCAATTACACATTTGAATGTGAGGATATTCACCCAGGCTTGTCAAGCTTTGGAGCACATCCTCTTAAAAAGTGTTCCATTGTGCCAATCAACAGCATTAAACAGGCAAAATGACTTAGAAGCACTGGTCTGTCTCATTCATGTACTTAAATGAGAGAATGATTAACTGGCCTATTCCATTCACCTGTTCATGCCATGTGATAGCTGAATTTGCATAAATCACCCATGGTATGCTAACAAGGCTCCTGCGTAATAGACCATTGATATTGACTGGAATTCTGAGAATACTCCCTTTTTATAATTCATTCAATGTCAAACATTGTAATCACCTGTTACAAGGTCATAGTGCAAATTGCACACATTGCATGTTGCTAGGTTGGTGAAATGAAAAGGCATTAACAAGAGAATATTGACAAAGGCAGCTACTGTCTATAGGAAGAAACAAAAGATACAAATTATGGTTTGAATGTAAATTTGTAATCTGTACTTTGCTATATCTTGTCTTTGTATTCTGTCTTGTGTATTTATTTATTTTTTGATTCTTATTTTGTGTTATTTTTTAACTGGATCTCTCGGTTTTGAATATGTTTTCACTAACAACAGTATACACATATAATACACATACGTTTGAGTGAAAACAAAATGGCCTTAATTCACAAAGCAAGGTTTGAGCTCAGACCAAGGTTTGAGCTCAAACCTCCTTTTGTTCCGCCAAACCTCCTTTTGTTATTTACAAACCTGGTTTGTAAATAACAAAAGGAGGTTTGGCGGAACAAAAGGAGGTTTGAGCTCAAACCTTGGTCTGAGCAGGAAGCTGTAATGAATGGAGACTCCGTCTCGAAAGAATTTCCCGAGGAAAATATATTCAAGATTAACTTGGCTTAACAAAAAGAAATGTAACCCTCTCCAGCCATCAAATCCATCTACAGCTGTCCTTATCAATGTACAGTTTCCCTCTAGTATTCCAAATATAACGAAATGTTACGCAACGCCGTCTGCTTCCCGAAGTTCTCTATTCACTCGGTCGTAAAAAATATGCAGGCATCGAGCTTTGAAGACATGCGTGGCACCGACAAATTAGGTCATGTTCAGTGAAGATGTATTTAGCTATAACATATAAAATACAAAATTCCCGACATATGACCAATGAAACTTCATTTTGGTTATCAAATGTTTTTTTCGTGCTGGGATAACTCTACTGAAGACGAAACCATTTCAACCAGCAAAATCGACCAAGGAAATCGTGAGTTGGAGCGAATGTAAGGTTTTCATCATCAGGATTTTCTCATCTAATTATTGACATTTTCCGAAAATTTCCGAAATTTGTATATAGCTAGGAAGGTAGTCCAAAGGTTTATCTCACTAAAGAACTAAATGAAATTGTGTTATATGTTTGCGCATTTGTTTGACGATGGTTAGAAGTTGTCAATTCATCACCACTTTTCACCCCAAGTACGGGCCGGCAACGCATAAGCCGCCGTGCTCGCTGGCCTGGACTGTTGGTGGAACGGGAGGACTTAGAGCCACTAGGGAGCTGTATGGTCTCGGAGAGGGATTAAGGGGATTACGGTAGGGGAAACAAAAGACGCGCGGTGCCACGGATGGCTTCAAAGGGACCTCTTGGACGGGATCTCCATTCATTACAGCTTCCTGGTCTGAGCTCAAACCTTGCTTTGTGAATTCGGGCCAATGTGTTTGATCCCACAAGAAAATGGCTGCCAGTGGATATTTCACAAGGGCAGGCATCACACCAGAAAAACTTCTTGTTAAAATACAGGAAGCACCCCCGGGGGGGGGGGGGGGGGGGGGGGGTCACTCGCAACATGACTCAAATCGCACAAAAACCACAAAAAAGGGTGCTTTTCAGGTTCACAGTTTTCAACATTTTCTTTGAATCCTTAAATTAAACAACCCTGCATAATAATTGATCAAATGCACCCGGCCATGAGCGAGGGAATTTACCTGGTATAATAATAACATCATCTAAATATAGGGACAGTAGCTAGGGCCATGGGGGATACATGCGTAATGTGTATAATAATAAATAATGCCATGCAAAGCATTATGGGTCATTCCATCGAGTTGGGTCAAAACAGCATTTTCACGCGTTTGAATGTTTAGAAGCGATCTACTAAAATTTAAATGTATTTTTAGAAAATTAAAAGTACGTTATATTTAAGAGTAATGTACAACAGAATTATTAAACATTAAAACTTGTTCGTCAAATTTTTTTTGGTGAGAATTTTACTACCAATGTTTCAGCGATTTTGAGGGTGACAGTTGTGACATAAAAACATGTCGTTTTCATGAAATTTTTTCTGAAGAAAAAAATCATCATACTGCAATGTTTCTTATTTAAAACATGTCACCTTTAATACCCCTACTAGACCCTATGCCTGAGAAGCTCAAGTGAAATTAGACCAAATTTTCTGTCTCTTTCGTTCGTTAGCCTGTGATTTGGGTAGGGTCGGCTCCTCTTTTTAGAGAAAGAAAAGGTCTATATGCGCTAATGTGTAGGTTAGGTGGGTAAATCAATGCACCAAACTTGGCAAAACTACCGGCCAAATTCCATATTTCACAGGATCCATATTCGGTGCATCTTATTTTGAAAATTAGGTAAAGGCTTAACTACTTCGGTTCCACTTACCAACTTGACTGAAATAATCTGTTTAATGGTTCATTTTTAGGAAATTAAGGGTCAAAATCGACATCCATGTTGAAAATCTTGCAGCTATATTTTAAACTCTTGCTGCGCATGACGTCATCTAAATCTCATCCTTTCTAGTCTACGCCGAAGGCAAAATGATTATAAAGGAAAAACTGTGTATGTTATTACCAACTCATAGCTCGTGATTATTTCAGTCAAGTTAGTAAGTGGAACTGAAGAAGTTAAGCCTTTAGATTCTACCTAATTTTCAAAATAAGATGCACCGGGCCGGATATGCATCCTGTGAAACATGGTATTTGGCAGGTAGTATTGCCAAGTTTGGTGCATTGATTTATCCACCTAACCTACATCTTAGTGCGTATGGATCTTTTCTGTCTCTAAAGAGAGGAGCCGACTCTACCCAAATCAGAGGCTAACAAACGAAAGAGACAGAAAATGCGGTCTAAAGTGAAATGTGCGAAAAAATTGGCAAGTTTATAGCCCATATTGAAAAAACACAATGACAACATTACAAATTAAGTCCTTTTCTCCTTATAATATACACTTCCTCACAGGATTCACAGCAAACTGCTGCAAGGTACAATTGCATACCGTACTTGGGGTGCGTTTTTAGGAAAAATACTCCAAAAAAGATAAGAAAATTGACACGAAACAGGTAAGACTAAGAAACATAACAACCTTTAAATCATGACCATTATTTGAGCAATTGATGAAGATTTAGTTGATGTTTGGTACGCTTTAGCAGGGTACCTCCACGCCGGAGTTACGAGTTAAAGTATGGATACAATTCTGAATTAGATCTAGATCTAGATCTAAAGTTAGGTCTAGATCTAGCACCATATTTTGTTGTCTATTTTTTCATTTTAAATAAAAGTGTGCAAAGGAATACATACAATTGCAATGAAATATATTGTAGGATTGGTGAAAGAAACAGGATATAACAATAAAAGAATTATTTACCAATTCTGAATTTTGCACCTTTATGTCACAATTTTTGACCCTACCCGATGGAATTCCCCATATCCGCTTTATAGGCTAGGCCTACAGACGCGGCGAATGCAACGACTGATTTTCGGTCGCTGTGGAGTCCCATTGCAATGTGTGTGAACTTGGTCTATTTTTTGTCTTGCACCATGCAGTAAGAATCAAAGTTAAACATACCTAAGAGCATTAGCAACGGTAGAAGAAAGTTGCCTAAGCGTCTTTTCCTGTGCTTCTTCATCGCCAACGTCAATCCTTTCAGTTCTCTGACCACATCTTATCCGCAATTTCATATTTATCGTGCGAAAATACCTGATTTGTGACTCAAAGTTCGAGCGCAGCTAGTGAATGTTGTTGTTGCGTTTTTTTTTGAGTTATTGGCGATTAGTCAGTGATTTGACTATTGTCGCCAAATTACTTTACGGCACGTGTTATTTCTCTCAATTTTGGATTTTTTTAAAAATACATTTATTTCGTTTTATATTTATCTATCTTTTAAGATAGTATCGTAAAATAATATCGTAAGCAAAACATTCATGGGCTTTGTTAGTGTTTCTTAACAGTACGTGCAGATTATATCACATAGAGGGGTCTACACACCATACATAAATATGTATATAAGATAGCACCTACACAAGCTTCTATATTCAGTAATCTTATCATACCTTTTATCATTGTTGTTACTTTTTCTTATTTAATTTTCTTAATACATTATGTTATTATATTTTTAATGTACTGAGTGTAATTTAACATATTTATAATATCGTATTATGTTTTACTGTTCTTATTTTATTTTCTTATTACATTATGATTGTTATTATATTTTTAATGTACTGAGTGTAATTTAGCATATTATAATATTGTATAATGTTTTACTATTCTTATTTTATTTTCTTATTACATTATGTTATTATATTTTTAATGTACTGGGTGTAATTTAACATATTTATAATATTGTATTATGTTTTACTGTTCTTATTTTATTTTCTTATTACATTATGTTATTATATTTTTAATGTACTGAATGTAATTTAGCATATTTATAATATTGTATTATATTTTACTGTTCATCAAGGGAGGTATTACTTCCTGATAGGGAACCGTTTCGTTCTGAGAAAGAACCGTACAATAGCTTTTTGTATACTGGACTCACTCTTTTTTAAGTATTCCATAATTTTTTCAGGTTGGAATTCGTTAATTTCTGTTAGAAACATAGCCCTTTCTATAATATAGTTAGGGCAATGTACTAAAAAATGTTTTACAGTCTCTATTTCACTGGGGCATCTATTACAGAAACCAGTAGCATGAATTCCCAATCTGAGGAGATCCTGGTTAAGTCCAAGGACTCCAAAGCGGA